ATATACCAGATAGCCTGATTCTGACAAAAATTGAAGTTATATAACCAGTGCGTTTTTTCAAGCAATCAACCAAATTTTTTTTTTTTTTTTTTTTTTTTCAGGGAAAAGCCGTTACGGAAGTTAAATCCGGGCCGGAATGGACGCTGTTCTTGGGGATTGATCACCTTCATTTTACACCGTGAGTTTCTGGGTTTCAGAATTCCAATTTGGCCGCACGCGCACAAGTGATGAGCCACGTTCAGGACTCCCATAAACGGCTAGCACGCCAAAAATACTAGATAAAATCAATGACATGGTTTTAACACATAGCCGGAGAAAAGTACGTCGAAAAAAAACAAAAAAAAAACTGTGGGCATATCTTGTAAACGTCTATAGTTCATATTCTACATAATGAATTTGGTTAAGAAAAGAAAGAAAGAAAAAGCTTTCTGCAACATGGGAAACGCATTTTCACACTTCGGAACAAATGCTCCGCATTCAGCGTTTGCTCTGGAACAGAAAAAAAAAAAAAAAAACAACATAATTAAAGTTCTAAATCCTTCCGCATGCACCGTACACTCTCAGAAAAAAGGGTGTATTATTACACCCTTTGCCCATATAATACACCCCAAAACTTCAATTCGACGTATACAGCACCCTATAATCGAACTAGCGGCCCCAAATTTTTCGAGGGGCTCAGTAAAGGTTCGTCCCTTGGTTGAATAGATGATGACTGCCCGGCGGTGTCTTGCGGGGCCAATCGTTTGAGGAGCCTTGTTCGGTGGGTGATCAGAAGAGTGCGACAGATGCGGGAGGACTTCGTCTAAACTGTTTAGTTAGACGTGACGAGCTATTGTACACAGTATATACAAAGCAAAGGGAATTCGCCGCCCTCCAAATTAGTCCAAGTCCAAGCCAGAAAAGGGGCTTCTCTCTCCCCCGTCACGGGCTTTTGAAGACGCTGACCCCCTCACTCTCGGGCGAGGATCAACCAATCATTTCAAAGCTTTGCTGGAGCCACGTGATATCCACCGTCCAATAGTTGGCAAGGGCGTCGATACACATTCGTTAACTTGCCAACGGACTACAGCCGACAGCTCCGTAACTTCGTCCGTGCATCCCGTTGCAGACATAGCGGCGCCTCTCCGGAACCCCCAGGTTGAAACCCAAGAAGCCTCGTAGAATGCGCAAGCCCTCCAGATTCAAAATAAAAAAACATCTCTTCCCGAGGGGTCATCCCGAAGGGGGAGACACAGGAAGACGCTCTCCAGGGGGGCCGCGTCGGCAGAAAGGCCCACGCGGTCTCCCGTTAGAAAAATAAAACTACACAAAACGACCGGGGAGGGAGCACCATACACGCCGCCGGACAAGACGACCGTCGCCCGGCCGATCGAGAAACCAGCCGTCTTTTCCAGAACCCTTACAGGCTTGATAGCCGTGGGTGGTACAACTTATTAAGATAGCTAATGTACGTATTATTGACTACAAAAAAAGATTATCGGAGTTTTCTTGGCTGTACGTACGCTGTACGTCGAAATGAAGTTTTGGGGTGTATTATATGGGACAAAAGGGTGTAAGGTGATACCCTTTGTTTTTAGAGTGTATCCTCATGATAAGGCTCCCTCAGATTTGCACTTGTTCGCGAAAGTCGAAACACTTCTGACTGGAAAAAGAGTTCGATCGAATAAAGAGGTCACCGAGATTGTCAAATAGAAAAAGGCACATCCGGTGGGAATTGAGAAGCTGGAGAAACGTTGGACGGAGTGTGTCGAGCCACGAGAGAATGGTGTTCAAATATAAAATACAACTTGAATGACACCAAGTTTGCTTTTTATTCATTCCGAAAACGTCTTAACCTAACTTCGTACATATAATGCGCTAGCGGGCATTGGCCAGTAGATCGCGAAGTTTGCACTGTCCTTCCTGAGGTTATTTGAACCGTATTATACGCGTGACTCAATCGAGCCACGAGTCGCACAACGCACCAGACACCCCTCTCTCAACCATCGTTTCGCCCGACAAGGTCGTCCTTTACGAGATCCGGTGAAATTAAGAATAAGCCTCCGTCATATAATCACTCAATCAAAATAATAATTAAGCGTGCAATAGCGTCAACTAAGTTCATAGCAAGAGTTCAAACGTATAAGGCATATGTAAAGAAAAAATATTTTTTTTTAACAGCCTAGTTTGAAAACGGATGTCATAAAATCATTTGAAAACGAAAAAAAAAAAAAAAAAAAAAAGATTAGAGCTCTATTTTTGGCACGAAACGAATTTCTAGTTGGCGCCCGCGAGAGCCCGCGGAAAAGTGGCCGCTGTGGTCACGTGATTGGCCGCTATGATCACGTGGTGTTTGTGCTCTTTCAAGAGCTTTCTGTGGGCTCTAAAAGTTACATAAAATTGAAAGAATAAAACACAGAGGACAATCACAAGAAAACCACTTGGTTGTCCTGTGATTGTCCTCTGTGTTTTATTCTTTCAATTTTATGTACTCATGTTCAACCCGCTCGCCTTCACCAGTCTAAAAGTTACTTATTAATCTTAGCTTTAAATGCAACAATAAAAAACGAAGATTAATAATTAACCTTTTAGAGCATATAGGTGGAAGCTCCCGAAAGAGCGCAAGCATCAGGTGATCAACCTGTGCGCCGGTCAGAAACTGACGGCGGCGACGCGCTGGAGTGTCGGCGGCGGAGTGGATAAACCACTGATCTCTACTATAAGGGGCTGGATGGCGCTTCGCTGCTCTCTGAGCCTGGCGCAAATGAAGCAACCGGAAGTTCGATGCTTGTCCCGGAAGTCGGGCGTGTGCTGGGCTTCCTAGTGCATTCAGTCCATATTTTGGTTCATGCTTTTTTGTGTCTCTGATTGGGTTTTCATACCCCCGTTCTGAATTAAATCCTGAGAATAAGTCATTTGAACGTGGGACATACACACAATTCATCAACTAGAATCTCAAAATTTTCGCATCGAATGGCTTCCCAGGAGACTTCTCGGGCCCGCATGCGTTGTTACTCCGCAAAAAGCAGGCTCTCTTGGGATGAAAAGAAAAAATCCGGCGCCCTGAACGTTGTTCGAACCAGCACTCGGGAGAGTTGAAAAACCTGTCAAGCACTCACTTCCGAGGACAAGCCGCTTACTTTCAACGGCTTCATACCTGTCTGCTCAATGCGCCATCCAGCTCCGCGCGGCTCGCCACGCTCAGCGTGCGGTAGCGGCACGGGAGTTCTGGACTTCAGCGGCGGCGCTCAACGGCTTTTTTTTTTTTTTTTTTTTTTTTTTTTATATTGGCGGTGGCGGCGGCGGCGGCGGCGGCGCGGCAGCACATTGGTCTCCCATGTGGCGGCTACCGCGGGCGCCAATTACAAATTCGTTTCGCGCCGTAAATATAGCTCTAAATTTTTTTCCTTCCGTTTTAAATTAATTTTATGACATTCCCTTTCCATCCTGTTTATTTTTTTTAATTTCCCTTTTGCATATTTTTTTTAAGATTCTCAAAAATGTGGATTCCAAGAGCCATATATGACTGTTTTCTGCACCCGAATAAAAAAAAAACAAAAAAAAAAAAACTCGTGTTTTACGCCCACAATGTGCGAAAAAACTAACGCGATGGCTGTAGCACGGTCGCGCAATGCGGGCGGAATGGTGTCCTCCCGTACCAGAGGACGAAGGTGCGACGTGGTTAATTCACACAGCCTTCGTGGTAGGCGTATTGGATGCCACTGATGACCGCCAGCAGTGATCCGTGAAGAAAGTGGGTAAGCGCCGTGGAAGTTTTAGAACCATACAACGTTACGCGTAGCAACTGGATCCTGCCAAAGTGTGATTTCGCATAATGCGAGTAATGTTTGAAAACAAGTCATTCAAGCAGATGGCACAAAGGTTCTCCCTTCGTCGCGCCATTCTTGGCTGGACGCAAGGGCCGCCCTCTGTACTCTCTTCGCGCGGCACGGCCGACGGGAAGTCCCGACTTCCATCACCTCGCGCCAAAAGGGGACAGAAAAGGTTTTTTTTTTTTTTCCGTATCGGCGGCAACAGCCCACGAGCTCAAAATCTCTGCGAAGAGTCGCCCATAAAGCTATCGCTTTAAAACAAAATGCACAAGTAAAGAGTTCGTGAAAGTGCGTGAAGGTATCTGCCAACTTTCACGCCATCTTGGTCGCATGCGAGTACAGGACAGGCATCCCTACGCCCGATTCGTTTCACGGAACACGCAGACCGATAACGTAAAAAAAAAGTACGCGGGTACTTTTTTTTGGATAGTATTAAACAATATTTTATTTATATACGACTCCCCTGGGGTACATACGTTACCTCCTCAGATTGGGGATTTCAAGCAATCATACAGCAGCAGCAGCCCCCCCCCCCCCCCTGGCGTCAACTGTCACCCCTTGGTTGGAGTGTTGTTTAGCGCTAGCACCCTATGCTGCATTCAGGCGCTCATGTGACCTTCATAATTACAGGTGTTACTCGGCAACGCTTTGAAAGCCTGCTGAGGTTCGAGTTCGCAAAGTTCGGCAAAATTTCGACGAAAGTTTGAGTATTATGCGCATGTGCATGAGCAGAAATTGAAAACAAGCTCACCCACCCGGCAGAAAAGGAGCGCAATTCTTGTTGCGTGTATTATTTAATTGTTTCACCAACTAAGTGCTAAACCCACCTTTGCTCGCGTTCATATTTTGTAACATTGGCAAGAATTTAATGAAATATAAAATGAGCTACTTTATGCATTTTGATTTCCAATATGTAAAATTTTGTGTGGAAGTCGGAGAACACGTTCAAGGGTGAAACGTAATCGAATTTGGCTAAAAGTTCGAGGGTTCGGCAAATCAAACGAACCTCAGGTTCGACTAAGGTTTGCGACACTCCTACTTACGACGCTCAGGGAGTCACCCGATCTCCCTTAGCCTGGGTGCTTCTTAACGCCCTTTACTAGATACACCTAAGAACGGTCGGTCCCCGGCTGACTAGGCTTGGCCAGACCTTGTGCCCAGGCTCGGTAGCCCGTGGGATGTACTCACGCTGGCACTCGTGGGCGTCGCTGGACGTGGCACGTCCCCAGGGCTGGTCGTTGAACGAGTCCACACAGCGCTCGCAGTTGTCCCCTGTCGTGTTGTGCTCGCAGCGGCACACCAGCTGCCGATCGCCGCCGGGGCCCGGGTCACACGCCTGAGCGTGCCCGTTGCACTTGCACCTGCGGCCAGAGATCTCTATTTTAGGTTAAAGTAAATAACTCACAACCAGCTCAATATAATTTTTTAATGTCCCTCCTCTTGAGACTCACGACAAAAAATCTCAACTCACTCACCCTCGCCTTCAATCTCAAATACTCACCAAACTCGCGAACTCACCACCCATAAACTCACCAAACTCATAAACTCAGTGAACTTATAAACTCACCAACTCAAACTCATCAAACTCGTGAACTCAGCAAACTCGTGAACTCAGCAAACACGTGAACTCAGCGAACTCGTGAACTCAGCGAACTCGTGAACTCAGCGAATTCGTGAATTCACCAAACTTCCAGAACTCCCCAGCTCACCAAACTCGTGAACTCACCAAACTCGTGAGCTCATCAAACTCACGAACTCACGAAAATCGCGAACTCACCAAACTCGTGAACTCACGAAACTTATCAAATCACAACACTCACGAATTCACTCACTTCACCGTATTCACGAACTCACCGAACTGACACTCCTTATTCAACCTCGAACTCACACAAGTTTCCGAACTTCCCTTACCGTCTGAGGGTGAGTAAGTTTCCTGATAAGTGAGTTCTGCTGATGTGGGCCTGTGACCAGAGCGGAGTGTCAGGTCGGATACCAGCGGAGCCCATGAAACCCAGAAGTAACAACCAAAAAATCCCTAATGAACGCCCATCTACGGGAAAGAAACACAAGGCGAAAATATTAGGTGGACGATCGTTCAGGATTTGATGGTGCGCGCTTTGGGATAAATTGCTTGTCTCAATACGAATCAACGGCTGTACAGCATGTTTCAAGAAAAGTGAACTATTTTAGGGCACATTTACAATACATTTACACGCGAAAACAAAACTTCGGCTGAGGAGGGCAACATAAGCTAACATGGTTAAGTCGAGCGTGTTGGGATTATGAATATTTAAAATAGAAAGAATAAAAACACGAAATACCTTCACAGACCACACTCGTTCAACCCCCACGCCGCTGCGCACACTAATGAAAGAGTGTGGCTGTGCGTGAAAGTCCTTCGTATTTGTATTCTTTCTATTTTAAGTAAAACAAACTAAAAAACGCGAAAACAAATGTGAAAAAAAACGAAAAAACTTTCAGCCTTTCCACTGTGGTGACAAAAATGGGGTTTTTGAGGAAATCGACCTCAAACTTCCAACATGTGTTATTTCTTACAACGTTTACGTGAAGGTAGCGGAGCGGCTAGTCAATATAACATAATGATATTATTATATCTATAATGGGCTTGTTTGGGCTTTCTGTAAAGCCAAAGAAAGAAAATTTACCTTAAGTACAGACAAAGTTATGATCTGTCAAAGTTGACCAAAAAGCGACCGGAATGACGAGTTTGACATGTTTTTAGAAAACAATCAATTTCCTAAAAATATTTGAATGCCGTCAAAGTATCTTTATAATACCTATTAAATGAGGGGAAAAAGTTAAAAGGGTGTAGAAAAACACTAGCGCCAGCAGAGGGTGTCAAACACGCGACCTGCGACGGCAGGCAAAAACACTAGTTTCTGCCACTGCGGCTTCTACGGCTCGTAACTCGAGAACCAAAAATCTGGGGAAGATGCGGTTTGCGCCCTCCTTCACTTGAGAACTGCCCCCAAAACATATATTTTTTTCGTGAAAATTAAAAATTAGACCCTTTTAGCCTGCCCGATTTGAGATGAAAACACCCATATACACGTTTGCAAGAAAGGCTCCTGTGCGCTGCCATTTTGAGCGATGCTGGCGCCCCGTACCGTTTCCGCCATGCTGGGGTGCGCCAGGGGCACGTCAGTGGGGTGCGCGATGACAAGATGGTGCCGTTTGCTGCATCGCCGATGGCTAACGTTAGCGCCACACTTACTGTCTCGGAACGCAGGAGGAGGTATCCACACAGAATCGTAGCATCACATATTGTAGGACGGGGCATCTTTAAGGGTTGGAGCTGACTCTATAACGATCGCAGCCTCTGTTCCTGCATGTTGTGGAAGCCAGAGCTGCCTCGAGCGCAGCCATCGTTGATGCAAAGGCCATGCGACTTGTGGCGGATTCTGAAGAGCGCCTCAAGACTTTAGATCTTTTTGAAATTTTTCGATTTGTTACCGGTTTAGGCATTTTATTTAATTATCCGTGCTCGTTCGCGGTCGAAGACGACACGTGTACGTTTTATAGTTATTTTTTAAATTTCTTTCTGCGCTCAGTGGTTTGCGCCTCGGCGAGAGACGCTTGGCAACATTGTACGACAACCAGCGAACGTCCTGGCTGGAGAGTAGGTCCGCCTCACCTTGGCGCGCGGTTCGAGGTTAAGCCGGGATGCCACTTGCAAAGGTGTATAGATACAGGGTTTTATTTACCGCAAAAATGAACTATGCATCACCGAACGCTTATTCTCCGCCCAAATGTATCGTTAGAGGTCCGAACTAGAGTTCCTGTATAGGCTCCCTACGGGAGCCAGAGTTGCGCATTTGTTTTCCCCGCGCCGCCGCGCCACTATTCGCCGAGATCCATCACGTGAGGAGAAAGCATCTGGCGCCATGCAAGAAAGCCACCTTTACGGTCGCTCCGCCGACGTTGCTCGCGCCCCGGCGTGTGTTCCCCTGCTTTCCGTCTCCTTTTCCTCCTCTCCCCTTTTCCATGCGCGGCGGCGCGCGGCGCTGCTATTCGCCACATTTAGTCACGTGAGGAGCAAAGCATCCAGGGCGTGCGGGAAAGCCGGCGCTACGGCCACTCGCCGAGGCTTAATGCGCAACCCTGCTACCGTAGGTAGATACAGGAACTCTAGTCCGAACCAGATGCCAAAGTTTCAGCACCAACCATTATCCTGTTCAAAAGTTATAAGCGATTTTCTCAAATTATCAATAAGAAAATGGCGGCCGAGGAACCTTATAATACACGGAGCCTCTATGGCGCCAGTCACGGAAAACGGGCAAAAACGACCCCATTTTTTCCATTGAAAAATTCAGAAAATCACTTATGACTTTTGAATACGATAATGATTAGTTCTGAAACTTTGGCACCTCGTTCGAAAATGGGCCGAAAATGAGCGTTCGATTATGCAATTTATTTTTGCCTTTCTTTTTTTTTTTTTTGGTGGGCACGTTTTGTTTATTTGCCTGGCGAGTGCTTTCGCAAATCGACAGGTGGCGCCCATGAGTCAGAGCGAAGAACAACCAGAAAAATGAATTGCACTGCATTTCGTAAACACTAATATACGAGACATTTCGGAAAACTCAATTTCAAGCGAACAAAAAATAGCAATAAAAAAGAAAACAAGCCTGCAGACGGCAGAAAATACAAAGGAAAAGACTCCATCGGCGACGGCCATAGTTGCGGCGCTCTTGCCCAACAAAATGGAGAGAGAAAGGCGAAAACAAAGAAGCAAGACGAAGGGACTGATGAAGAAAAAAGGTGTCCGCTCACCCACAACAACAACAGCAAAATGCTTTTTTTTTTCTTTCTTTTTTTTACGAAAGCGGGGCAAATGCGCTTTGAGGCACTAGCCCGGCGGCTCGTAAGAAAAAGAAAATTACAGGAAGATCCATCGCTGGATTCTTAGGGAATACGTTAGCATAACGCGCAATTTTTTTTTTACACCGGCAATTATCAGTAGTTTATTTTAGGGGGTAAATTGCACAGCGTATGTATATCGCCATGTGTCCGTCGCTGTGTGGGTTATTTTGTTTACAAGCCACTACTAGAAGCACGCTCTTTTGATTACATCACTTACTATTGACCCAATGGAGTTTCATTCAACCTAATTGACGCCATGATCACTCCTGTGATTACTCCTGTGATTACTTCTAGGTCATAATCAACTGATTTATTCTGAGAAGTCCCATCATGATTACACTTGATTACTGGGAGTTACAATATTGACCCAATGGACTTTAATTCGGCCAAATTGACATCTTGATGACTGTCACTTACTTTGAGCTCATATTCAACCAATTGGTTTGTTGTGAGCTGAGTTAACGTTACGATTCATTCGAGTTACTATTTACTTAATCGACATTATGCCACCGAGATTGACATTTTAGTGTCTCTTTTGATTACTTCGAGTTATTACAACCAACTGATTTATCACCGGTTCTCATTGTGCTGTCTGTGAGGCGACATACAGATATTTGATATTTTTACACAAGGTATTATGCGCATTGCAAAGAAATTTCGACACGCAGAGTAAAAAAAACAACACTAATCTTACGGATAAGGTTTTCTGTTGTGATAGCGCGCTATTTATATTGGTGAAGTAAAGGTGCTTAGTATTTAGTCGCATAAACATTCATGACATATTTCGCAAACACGTCAACTGTTTAGCGAAGTTGGAGTGCTCGCAAACAACACTGGCTGAAAGTTGTTTTGCCTTAGCCCTAACAATCCAATCCAATCGTTGTGTACGTACTCGGACTCGTACGTCCCTTCCGCACCTGGTTCGTACATACGCTTCCGTGTCCAACACTCGCTCGATCCGACTCATCTCCATTTCTTCACTGGTTTTGATCCCGGTTTCTTATCGCCATATCGTTTCCAGACGCTATTTATTCTCTACAGTAGTCTTCAATAGTAGCAAGCGCCGCGAGGGCTCGATAAGCAGACGAAAAACTCGCCTCCGCATGACACGTGTTGGTGCACTGATACGTACGACGGTGCAAATATACCACCTGGTATTCCAACAGGCTCATGATTGGACCCGGCGGCCTGTAACATTGGGCTTTAGTCTATCGTATGATGAGACGGAGTATAACAGACATTGTGATGACTATTTTGATTACTTTGAGCTAATATTCAAATACTTGATTTATTATTATCGCCTATTTGCCCAAAGCAACTAAAAGAGTAATGCCAATGTCAATTAGGCACTAGTGAATTCCATTGGGTCAAAAGTAACTCAAAGGCATCAGGAGTATAATTCAAATAATAATTAAACTCATAACGAATCAATTGGTATATTAACTCGGAGTAATCAAGAGAGTCACAAAAATGAAAATGA